GTGTATAATAAATAATTTCATAAGAACTTCGTTTGAATAATCGATATTTGCATTCATTTTGGAAGATGATTCGAAACACCGTCGATAACTCTTTGTAAATTACTTATAAAAGTAACCGAACTGCTATAAGCTTGATAATTCCACTGCTACCTAAATCCAAATAAAAATAATGTTTCTAGAAGAAGTGACTTTATTGAGAAAACTTGACGATTTAGGTATAGGGACATGATATATCATCTTGAAGCATTTTTCACCATCTTTCAATTTACCGAGTAATATATAGGTGGTTTTATTTGAAAAAATGAACTTTTGGCTACTTTTATGCACAATGGGAATAATAGTAATTTTAGCACGCCCTGTATGATATGGAGTCGATTTCTTGGTGTTATTTGAATATTTCGAGTTTGTCCAAACTATCACCAAAATATCAACTTTTTATGAATTGAGAGTACTGATGTACTTAATTTCAATCAAGGCTATGTTTTGGACCATATTTAGCACAATTTATTTTTTATCTCGAAAACAGATAGAGATAGGTATAGGACATTATTGACAAAAAAGTATCAAAATACCAGAGCGATTCCAAAAATGTATTAATATACGGGATGTTCCATTAAAAAAATAAAGTTGCTAGGACTTTTTGATGGAAGTGGCAACGCCGCAATGCTGAAAATATTTTAGATCGATAGAACCGGTAAGGAAATGTGAGAGGTAAAATTTTCAGAAAAATCATGCTTTGAGTTTTCCAGAAACGTCTAACCTACCATCGACCGTGAGTCAAGCTGTATAGCAAGTACATATAAAAATTCGTAGATGAGGTATACCATACCTTTATCAATTAAAATAACACAAATAAAATCTAACTTGGTACGTATTCTATTTCAAGTTGTCTAGTTAACCTGTTAAATCAGACTGATTTAAATATTTTCAAATCTAAGTTATGCACACGAAACATCCATAGATTGAACTTCATACCATTTTTTCGGAAATATGTGCGGGAGCATTCCACAATGCACCGCGTACTTGCCTTTCTTCAGCGTGCTTGCTCCTGATTATATGGATCCTAAAAAACGGAAAATCGACATTGAAAATAGAAGTTTTTTGGCAGAATGGATTGAACAATATTGTTTTACCCTGCCTGATAGGCCTCAAGCGATTCCAGTGAGCCTTATATGCAATAAAACTGTCGCTATTGTTAAAAGTGGAGATTTGAAGCGACACTACGAAACAACTCATCAGCAATTCCTCAAAAACTGTCCTCTTGGCAGTCAGGCTCGTAAAGAAAAAATTCAAACATATCTCAGTTCTTACGAAAAGAGTACAAAATTACTAGTTCGTTGCATGAGCGTCCAAGAAAATACCACAGAAGCAGCGTTACGTGTGTGCTGGACGCTTAATAAACACCAGAAACCTTTTTCAGATTCTGAGATAATGAAGGAATGCATGTTGGCAGTAGTTACGTCACTTTTTGAAGAAAAAAAGATGTTGTCTCTGCAATTCAAAGTATTCCATTGTCAGCGAGAACTAATACACGAAGAACTGAAATTTTTGCTGTGGACATTAAAAACACTCTTCTTGAACCTCTTCAAATGGCACCTTGCTACGCCATAGCACTCGATGAATCATGTGTCAATGTCAATGCCCTTTGTGGAAAACTTAATGCTACACTCAAAGAAGTGATGGACAACTTGGTCAAGTTGATTAATTTTATGAGATCCCATTCTGCTCTTCAGCACCGACATTTCAAAGAGTTCCTTTCTGAATGTTTTTCTGCATTTTCTAACTTATTACAACACAACAATGTTCGTTGGCTAAGTAAAGGTCAAGTTATTGAACGTTTCTGGCTAATAAAAGAACAAGTATCCTCCTTCTTGCAAAACTTGGATATGCCGGGAGCCAGAAATACTTTGAGTTTATGAAAAACGAGCAATATGGTGGTTGTGGCTTTTCTGAAAGATATTTTAAAATATTTGAATGCGCTCAATACAGAGTTACAAGGAAATGGAAAATTAATATGTGATCTGATACAAAG